ATAATTACAAACAAACAAATGCTAGTTAAAATTGTTTATGAAAAGCTAAAAAAAACCATCAAGTTTATCTTGTATTCTAGGATTAAACGTTCAATTATTTAATGTTTTTTTAGAAACAAGAAAAATATATACCATCACATTAAACCTATAAATAAATTGAAACAAATATTGGAGAATACCAAGCGTGAAATAAAGGTTAATAATAGGGATTTATAAAATGTGAATATGTTAGTATTTGTAACGGTCAAACTAAAAGGAACTTATAACACGGATTACAGAAACATAAAGAGTACGTTAAAAACAATGAAATAGAAAATTCAGCTATAGCAGAACACGAACAAACAACACAACATACAATTTTATGGTACAAACTAAAACTTCAGCTCAACCTCGCAACATCTGCAGCTTTAAAATATCCGAGAATAATTGGAAATGGTAAAATTTAAAAAGAACAAAAATTTTAAACTGAGATATTAAGGTCCAGCAAGTATATTGCATTGATATATGGCGTGACACATTGTAAAGGTTGGCCACTCACTGACTTACATGAATAACACAGAGACATAATAGCACATGACCTGTAAAAAGCTCAAATACTGAAAACACATGTCTTGTGAATAACTTTTGAAGTGGACATGGAAACATGTAAAGTTTTTTTATGTGGAAGCCGTTTGATTGTGTAAATGGGAAACGTTGTATTTTAATCATTTACAAAATGATTTCTACTTCCATAACACATTTGGGAAGTATTATGTAACATTATGTAACACATAACAAGTGAATCTTACTGAATATTCACTATAGTTTGAAATTTCATATATCAAAAAATGTGTAAGAAGTAATGTTAAAATCATTTACTAAAGTCGGAGGCAAAGAAAGGATTTCTCCAAATAATATTTTCAAACATTTGAAAATGATGAAAAAAAACATTGTTTTATTATATTAACAAAATACTATTCGCAACCAAATTTACCCAGATCCTTCTGGAATGTGAAATTGCTATCTCAGCATGTCTTTGATGGCACTCAGTAAGTATGAATACAATAAACGCTAGTTAGGTAGAGTATTAGTGCAAAGTTGTATTAAATACTAAAGCGCCATGCATTTTTTGAGGATAGAGATTTCTGAAAGTGTTGAAAATCAATATGTGTAATGCTTGGCCACACGTGATAAAATGTGTATGATACCATTCAGTAGAATTAGGATTTTGATAATAAGTAATCGACGAAAAAAAGGTGTCGAAAAATGAGTGTCAGAAAATGCTGAAATCTATTTTTGTAGTATATAAACAATCGAACCATTGGTGCTTCAGAATGAAAAGCATAAGAGAACATTACGTCACCTACAAGTATGCTCAGCAATATTGTGTTTTAAGTAAGGTCTGCCAGTGCTGAATCCTAATTTTGTAGATTAATGAGAGCCTAGAAACACATACTTAGAATCAAGTCTAGGGATTAATTTGAATCAATTTGCTCCATAGTCTTCACTAACATGCTGAGATTTTGAAACAACTAAGGAGACAGATTATATTACACACTTGTCGGAACCTAACTGAGGCCATTTTTCAAAGAATGATGGCAGTTACTTAGACTCAGGATGGTGCTACGAGTAACAAGTCGGAGATAACTATGAGGTTTTTTCTATGACTGATTGTGTGATGCTTATGGCTGATTAATGTTTAATACGCAAGGAACAATAATATTAATTTTGTCCACTTTTCCCTGTGATATATCTTGTGAGTTATAGAAAGGAAATATACTGATATCATGAGCAGTGCGATGATATATCATATATACCAATTTAGTATAAGATGTCTTTTTTGGTTGTTTGTTATTAGAGCTAAATCACATTGGGCTATATCCTATGTCCATCGCGGGAAACTGAACCCCTGAATGTAGCAAACCCCTGACAATATAAAGTGTCAATAAATAATAATAACTTGTGTTTAACGAATAAATACAACAAAGTAGCATAAAATAACCTACTTGTAAGTATGCATTTCCCCTACACTATTCTCTTAAGGCTCCTTTAATTCAAAACTAAACGGAGCAAACAAGAAGTTAGTATGAACCGTTATTTATCGGCAGCTCTTAGTTATTACAATAGTAGTTAACGGTTGTGATGATTAAAAGTATATTGTCGTTTTCTTAAGCAACTATCATTCATGAAGAATTTAAAAATAAATAAATTACTTGTCATTACGGAATTATTGAGTTTGAATTTATTTTATATTGATATTAAACTTTAATATCCTGTCATGCATATATGTGGTACATTTCGCTTAATATTCTATAACTTAAATAACAAAAGTGTGACTAAAAGCTAGCGAGCCAAACTATGATCTATATTTGCCATCGAATATAGATACAAATTATTGAGGTTAAAGTTATTGTTGTATCTATATAATTTTACATTGATATTAAACTTTATTATTCTGTTAAGCATATGTGTGCTAAGTTTCGTTTAATATCCTACATCTTTCTCGACATACCATCATATGAAACTTGATGTGGCTGTTTTCTTTCTTTTTCTATAGAATGGTCAATTACATTATAAAGAATAATTGATGTTCATAATAACTTGTTAACAACTAAACTATTAACTTTAATATATCTGGGCAAAGAGTAAAAGTGAGTTAATTCACTTAAAAGTGATGTTCTGGCTGCATTAGACTTATTTGATCTCCGACATGTGAAATTGAGGGATCGTGACTTCATGACATTATCAAGGGGCAACATTCGTTGGACATCAAATATAAGACACTCTCCAGATGATGCAGCCTACTTGCAATACTATTGTTTAACTGCTTTATTTTTCTTCAAACTCTTTCTACTCTAGTTTCACAATTCTCTGCTTAGTATTATTATATCTTGGTTCTCATTATTTTTAACCTTGCCTTTTTCATAAACTTAATTAATTTCTAAAAGTGCATATCTACTTATAGAAATATCAAGGCCATTTTGTAAGTATTTTTTTTAAGTTTATTTTTTCCTTTAATCGCAAAGATATTTTAATTTCATAATTCTTTACTTTTTACTCAATGAGAATATGTTTTCCTTTTTCTTTTACGCATCCCAGGAGTTCCGGGAATAAAATTAAAACCTGTTCAATTTTATGATGACCAAACAGGTATAGTATTTATTTCAATTACCGATATGACATTATTCAATTAAGTTTACTATCAAAATTAGGCTTACAAAGTCAAAAACAGCACGATGAATAGTATTGTTTATAGTTCATTTTTCATTTTTTTAAAAAGTTGTTATATCTTTTTCGTAACATGTAGGTGAAGTATGAAAGCTCTGTTTATCCAGGAAAATATTAATATGTACATAAATGTTATTGATATGGGTAGTCTTCTGAAGATAATAGAAATTAGCCAATATTCTTAATACACTGTGAGAAATAATTAAAGCATTCAGATCCTTTGAATTTTGGGAGAGACACGATTATCTGTTGCCTATTATAGCTACGTTCTTCTCATGGTTAACCGAGACTTAATTAACTTTCGAAATATTCAACCTTTCTATAAGAATGAGTGCGTCATTCTGTAACTAATTTCTCAGAAGTTGCCTCAAAATATTTATCTGATTATTCGCTTACGAAATACTACAAGGAATGCATCTCTGAGGCTAATCTCTGATGTCACTGTGGTTAAACATTTCTTATAACCTTTTATGTCTGTGCAATTATCACATGTGATAAAGTAGGTTTTGAGAAAAAATTTAAATTAAAAAGAAATTAGTGTTTTTTTTTATCAAAAAGGTATTAAATAATCACATTTACTAGAAGCGAATGTTATGTTTTATTGAAAAACAAAAACCAATGTCAAAAATGAAAATAAAATACATATATTCAAGCTCAAGGAACATAATAATTACTGATTTTCTGAGTTCTTTTCATCATAAAAGTAAGTTTTTAATGTAATGCCATCTCGTAAAGCTATCTTTATACAAGTAGTTATGTTTTATTGTCATCATATTTGGTTGTTGAATAAGTAACTTAATTTAATGTTCTTGTGACATGTTTTGTCGTGGTTGCCTTTAAATTCGTTCAAAAGGCATACCGTATGTTGAACAATAAGGCTAGAACGTTACATTTCAAAAGTCACTATATTATGCCATATCACTTATTTTACGTTTCGCAGACTTTGACTAAGGGAATCATTTCGATTATTGGTAAACAATATTTACTATTACTTCTTGCAATTTCACGTTTTAATTTAAGTTTTATGAGGAAGGGTTGTAGTTCTAAATTTAACATTGCTCTTGGTTAATAAGTATCTATAAAAAATTATCTTACTAACAACTTCACTAATTCAATCAGCAAGTTCGTAGACCATTGTCACACTAGGCTTAGCTATATTCTTTATGTTTCGGAATGAGTATTTATTTGTTCGAAAGCGTTATACATATAATAATATATTCAGAACAATTATTTTACAAGAAACATTCACCATTGGTAAATTTTGATACAATATCTAAGGTGTCTTAAATGCTGTCCACACTGTTACGTATATATGATTTATTCACAGGTATCTCTTTCAAACATGCACCTTTAGACATAACGGCCTCTGTTGTGGTTAAAGGCTATCGAACCAAACATTAAATCCAAGAGTCTGTGATTAGTGTAACGTTGCCCCAAGATCGCGCTGCGCACTTTGGGGCCGGGGGTGCGTTATAAGAGAGAAGACCAAGTACCACTATTTGATTAGAGTAACCCTAAAGTTGGCAGTGGGTGTCTTCTCTTCAGTTTCTCAGCCCAAAATTGGAGACGGCTGTTGCAAAAATTTCTTGTTTAGCTTTGCACGAATATCCGAAAAAAACAAACAAATCAAATATAACACATTAGATTTTTACCGTAATGACATCACTCATGATTGACGTCAGTTCTTATGAAAAAAGTGTGCAACGAAACATGGCGAATAATATATAGAATTACGAATAAAATGGCCGTATATTAAACAGAAGTAATTTAATAAATTATCAATCTAATTGCTTGTTGCTTTCTAAAATTTTACGAATACGGTTTAAATGTAAGAATGGTTATACAAATAATTGCTTGTTTTTATGTTTAATAAATAATTTGTAATAGTGGTGTTAACCTTATTTTGTAAAAACAAAAACAAAAAAAAAACGAACAAATTTGTGATCTATTTTAGAGTATTTTGAATACAACTCCGTGGTGGGCGACAAGGTAGTTTTACCATGCAACATAACACCTCCTTCATTTGACGACAGCGTAGCGCTGATTCTGTGGTACATAGGTGACTCTGGGAACCCGATCTACAGTGTAGATGCAAGAAACGAACCTGTGCAAGAAGGAAAACATTTTTCAAGCGACATTCTTGGATCTCGAGCCAAGTTTAACATTTCCTTAAGAAGCGCTTTCCTTGTCATCGAACCAGTTAAAGCTGATGACAGTGGTGAATATCGATGTCGTGTTGATTTCCGTCGAGGCAGAACTCAAAATAGGAAACTCAAAGTTAACGTAATCGGTAAACGAAAAAGCTAGAAGGTCTTTATTGTTCTTTATGATAACTGTAGTAACATAAACTGAAGTTTGATGTAAAATTCGTATACATGATTTTCTTATTTCAAGCTAATTAAAACATTAAAATAAAATGCAATAATTTTCAAATGAAAATGAGCTATGATTATTCTAATGTAAAAAATGAATGCATATACTCTAATGTACTCCAAACCTATTATTAAGATTTCGTAAATAAGACTCTTGTATTGTGCAACTGAACATAGTTTCCACTAATATAATGATTATTGAATGTGTAAGAAAGGAAAGGTAAGTTGTTAAACAATTATTTTTGTCAACTATTAGAATGACAAAATGGAAAGGATTGGACAAAAATGTAGTCGATTTATTTGTATTCTTAAAATCATGTTAAGATGATTTTTTACCTAAATACATTTGTGGAACAAATATTGTGAAAGATATAGAAGATAATCATGACGAATAACTGAAAAACAAATCATGCATGTTTCTACTGCTAATAATTTTAATTTTCACTCGGTAGAAGAACGTTAGTTCAGATAGACATGTTTTAATAACTTATTTCATAAAATATACCCGTCACACCAAACATGCTCGCCCTTTCAGCCGTTTGTAAAAGAGTAGCCCAAGAGTTGGCGATGGGTGGTGATGACTAGCTGCCTTCCCTCTAGTCTTACACTGCTAAATTGGGACGGCTAGCGCAGATAACCCTCGTGTAGCTTTGCGCGAAATTCATAATAATAATAAAGAGTTTCATAAGATATTCTCCTTATAGATACTAGACTTTGAGGTATGATTAAATGAAGTGTTATATTTAGATATCGACCAAAAGTACCTATAAAGTAATATTTAGTTGCCATTCCTTTTTTTTTCATTGCGAAATACACTTTCAAATGGAAAGTAATTTATAATCAATTTGATTAACAAATTACATAATTTTTTGACGTTGATCTATTCAGTTGCTTCTATTAAAGCACTAAGGCCCGGCATGGCCAGGTGGTTAGGGCGCTCGACTCGCAATCTGTGGATCACGTGTCGAATCCCCGTCCCACCAAACGTGCTCGCCCTTTCCGCCGTGGAGGCGTTATATGTGAGTTCAATCCCACTATTCGTTTGTAAAAGAGTAGCCCAAGAGTTGGCGATGGGTGGTGTTGACTAGCTGCTTTCTCTCTAGTCTTACACCCCTAAATTAGGGAGGCTAACGTAGATAGCCGTCGTGTAGCTTTGCGCGAAATTCAACCAAAATTAAAGCATTTCTGAAATGGATATAAAATTATTAGTTTTGATACCATCTTCGCCTGAATCTCATATATTACCTAATGTGCTTGTAATATTGCAAGTTGCTCTTTAACTAATACATGTAATAGATAAAGCAAAACTAAACATGTGAATGTTAAATATTTTATGGTTAAGCATTTCTTTTTTCTTTTCTTTTTTCAAATACATGTTTAATCTCGATCTGCTTACAGTTCCACCGAAAGAAATTTATGTCCAAACAGGAGATAAAAAATTCCAAGATACAGTTTTCGGCCCTATTAACGAGGGAAGCTCAATAAACCTAACATGTATAGCTGTCGGAGGTGAGAATTAGGGCAGTTGTTTGCTATATTTTAAGAATAAAACTAATTGTTTTCAAGTATTTATTATTAATATTATTATTTTTTGTTTTCATTTATAGTGAAATAGCGATTTTCAGTTTTTCATGGAAACATTATTCCTTAAAATCTCCGGAAATAAGACTTCAAGGAAAACTAGAAATATACTTAATCTGTATTTTTTTTACTTTTAATATAATTCGGCATGTAATTTTCAAAGAAGTTAGATATAGTTGTAACACGATTTTATTTGCAAAATATTGATCACTACAAAAGCCCAGTGAATTGGTTTCCTTTATGAAGTTATACAGTAAGAGTAAATTTAGAAATAGTTTCCAATTAAGTTGTATAGTAACAATTAATTTCTGTTTATCCAAAAGAAACAGAAAATATTATAACCAAAAGCAGATATTTTATTTGTTTAGGCTTATAAGTTTTCGATTTTTTTTTCCCACAAGGAAAACAATATAAAAACAGCGCTTGTGTTGAGAAATCTCTAAAGGTACTTTAATCTCCTGTCAAATATATCCACTGGTTTCGAAGCAAATATTCTTATTTATGGCAAGAATTTACTCTTCAGGAAACCCTTCTCCCTCTGTGAAGTGGTGGAGAGAAGAGGCTCTAATGGACGACAGCTACACTATTCTGAAAGACAGAGCAGTGTTTAACAGTCTTGAGATAAGAGCTGTAGATCGAACCCTGTCAAAAGCCACCATAACCTGCCAGGCTATGAACACTAATCTCACCATGCCAAAATCAGTGACAATTAAACTGGACGTAAACTGTGAGTACTTTTAATAACAAATTTAAAAAAAAAATTATTATCAGTCGGTTACACTTTAAGATCTGCCAAATACTTCTTAATTTACTGGAAATTTCAAATTACCTCTCAAAATTCCATCTTGATTGAACAGCTTTACTAGACTTGGCCACTTCAGTTTTCAGTTTCTGCTGTCTTTAGAAAATAAGAAAGGTGATGTTTTTGTAGAGTAGTTACTTAAATAGTAAATTTCTGTGCCTTTCAACTAATAATGTTCTTAGTTTTCGGTGTAAGGGAATCTAATTACATAATGTTCAGGATTTTATAAACTTTGTAAAATACGCTTTTCCCTTTCAATTTTTTTTTTTACTTTTCGTAACTTAAGTAAACAAAAACATTGTACTAATCCCTTAACCTTTAGAACGAGTTACAATAATACTATTGATATTCTCTTAACTTGTACAAAAATAATTGCTGTATTTGTAGCAGTTAAAGCAACCACTGGGAAGGTATAAGAATGATAAAGCTGTAGTGTTTTATAGATTGAATTGTTATCGTCCTATCTTTTGATCAGAACTAAAACTGTATATCTTTTTTCTTTATATTTAGTTGAATATCATTTGTAAAAATTGTTTAAACATATTCCTAAGCTTAATAATGTTTGCCCAGTTCTACAAAATTATATTCCTTTAACACACTTTAATTATGATTATTAATGCAACAAAAAATATAATGTATCAGGTTATAATGCAAAGAGTTATCTTTGACTGGATATTAAATTATTTTTCTTAAACTTAGCACGGGGATATTTTTACATGTTTACAGCATGTGAAAAAAGAACAATTTCTATCTACCTATGCTCTGATTAATTCACAACACATAAATTAAAGATACAGAAATTTGATAAATGGCAATTAACTATCTAGCATAATGATTAAATCCAATATGAGCCGAGTAACCTTTCCTACAAATATGTAAAGTTTAAAGGTTCAAATCAAATTTTGAAACACCTGTACGAAAGAGTTAATATTATATCGGTCCATCAGCAAAGGATTGATTTGGTTTCTCACCTAAGATTTTCAAAGATTTCTACTGAAATAATGGATCATCGTCAATAATAACTGTAATATGTACCTTTGATGCTACTAATTTATGTAAAAAGCAACAATCTTTAAGATGACGTAATTATGGACTGTAGATGATAAGATTTCTAGAGCATCATATTGTGTGATCGGAAATACATCAATAATCAAAATCTGCTCTAAATTCATTGCTATATATAATCAACCAGATAGTACTGCGAACAATATACAAGTCAACAGAAATGTACTTATACACATTCAATAGAGAAATAGCTAAATACAGTGATCTCGGGACCAGTGATAGAAAGATATTCAATCTTTTTTGAAGAACTAGACGTGTGCATATGTGATGAGTGCCAAAAAAGCGTATATACTTATTACCGGGTGAGCTTCATTCTATTGGTATGCTTTTAGTACAATCATTACATTAAAAACACAAGCTAACACCTAGTAAATGTATCAGTATACTAAGAAACATGTTTAACCCCAAAGTCAATATTATAAAACGTTGTTTCAAAAAGATTTGTTGAGATAAAGGGTGTCTTCAGTGTCTTGTATTGTCCGATTGAATCGTAGTGAGGAATTATTAGAACAAGAAACCGACGTTACTGTCATCTATTTACCTCAGAAAGTTCATATTCTATATAAATATAGGCTCACTGTGTTAAGTAAATGACGACTACAAACATTTTACGTGTAATACACAGGTCACTACTGTAAGAAGTCTAGTTATGTTTTCACTTTTTCTACATCCAGGGTTACTAATGAGGTGTAAAAACCACCAAAAACCGGAATAATTTAGTGGTGAATCGAATGATAAAATGAGTTTCATATTTGTTATTAATTTATTTCTTAGGCCCCCAAAAAGTTCCATTTCGTAACACTCTTTTAGATAGGCCAATAAAGTTAATATATTTCTTTATACTTTATTCCTCAGCAAAGATGGGTGCATTAACATGCATCTATGCATTTTTATGACTCGGGAACTAATAAATATTTTAGATTTTTATAAATCCATAATATATACCGGGTTATTTTGAGTGCTATAGGGAAATAATTGTTAATGACATGAAATAGGGTGTTGTGGGCCTATCCTGTGACAATATATATCACTGTGGTTATTGAAGGTCAGATTCATGGTCATGTCTTTCAAAACTTTCATTAATATGCACCATATACTCTATGCTCAAAGTATCAATGACAAGGGCGTAAACAATAATAAAATATATATTTTGAACCACAAATTACCAACATATATCCACAAAAACAACAATTATTGGCGTAAAGAGAAATGAAATAACCATCCTACAAGTATTAAGGAATGGTGGCTAGAAATCAATAGCTATTTTGAAAGTGTTGAACTAAATGTGAAATGCTAATATAGCAGCTTCATTATGAACCCTGGTTGCTGTTCATGGTCTGCTCCCTGGATCTGTCTGTAAATGAACCTGTGGTACACAGACGTTTATTTCCTATCGTTTGTTGTGAAGGATAGTATTTTTCTGAAAACAGCTGGACCATTCTTGTGACATTCTCCTTACAGTAGGGTCATGCTAAATTGTTTTTCAACGGAATACTGTTCCATTATATTGATAATTTGGGGAAAATGCAACACAATGGTAGTGTTTTACTTTATGTAACAACCATTGCTCTGGTAGGATTTTGAGCTTTAATGGCACAACTCCGTATCCGTGGAAGGGATGCATTTATGCC